TAAGCGCTCTAGTCGCCAGGACTAGAGAAGAGGCGTGGCCCCTTTCTAAAAGACCTTATTTTGCATGAAAATCGACCACTCACCCTGTAATTCAGGTTCATCATACGATTGTATACAGAAGTTTTAGTGGTGAACCATACGTGCATAGTAGTGACGAATATCACTACAGCCAACAGGCATTGCGCGATCACCGACCAAAACAGAGGATTCCGAAGCATGTCACTAAAAATTTACAGAGTTTTACAGACCAAAAAACTTAATAAAACTAAAAAAATTTTTTACATATTATATAATTAATTTACAGAAGTCTTTCGGTAGGAATTCATTACTGATCGTCCTACGAAAAAACCACATATATCTATGTTTTCCCTCACGAAAATCAAGATTGCCTAAAGATTGATTCCGGGTGATCGGGCTGGAACTTTGGCAGGATGGAGCATGTACTCAAACCCACTGCACAGATCGAATCCCGTATCCATATCCGCCCAGGTTCCGAGACCTTCCAACCCTCTGGGGTCAGTTTATTGGTATCAGACTCGTCTGGGAAGGTGAAAGCACTGACTTCCATGTGGATGGCCACCACAAGTCATTGTGCAAGATGGATCATGAACTCATACGTACTCGAAAGCCACCACGATTGCGAATGGAAGTCGAATGAATGGTGGATTTCAGAAATGGTATAGACTAACGCCAAAGACTATAGGCTTCATCCTCTAGCATCATTTTTGTTGGAGTGACGTGCGTTAGAAAGGATAGCTGGCGATACGCTTAGCGGCCAGCCTGGTGGCAGGAGAAAGGGATTCGAACAAATTAGAGTCCTCTCAATCTTAGTGAACACATAACTGAAAGACACAATTCACGATAATTCTAGGTATCTAGCTTGAGTGAAATAGTGAAAGTTATGGCGCAAGCTAGTGCAAGGGTGGTGGAGAATGCGCAGAGGTTTTCAAAAACATAAGGATTCAAAAAGAAGTAAGAAAATGGGTTGTACGAGATTATGTCTGTCTGTCTATGTATGTGCCTCCCATATAAGCATTGTAATTCTCGGCGTCCAAACGCTTTATTTGGAAAGTTGCGCCCTTGACAAGTCCGTCATAACATGCCCACTTGCGTGTGGACGTCGGCCACTCTGGTTTTTTTTTAAATTCGAGGAAAACGGATAGTTGATGAAACAATATTCAAAGAACTTCGAAGACTGGAATAATAAAGCATATGAAAACTGACGGTATATCATTTTTCGGTGTCTCAGATACCTTGGTGTTGTTCAGTGCCATAGCCTCTAGTAGATCCTGAAAAGAGTAGTCTTTGTCCAGGTCACTAAGAGGCTTCTCTATCCACGAGGGTCCATTAGACTACATAGGCTTGCTACAGAGACGATGGAGCCGCTATTGGGAGTCACTCAGTACTCCGACGAAGGAGACCGTTGATCAACGGAATGGGCCCTGATAAAAGTGGTAATGCCAGAAATAACATAGCATGGTTCTTCAACTAGATGGTGGCAAAGGAGACGATGCCGGAGGTTAGATAAGAGAGCATGGCGACTCCTACTCAGAGGAAGAAGTGCTAACCCACAAACAGCAAGAGCTACCGTCCATACTGATTATCCTTCCTCAATATCGAGATATCTTGCAAACTCTATTCGCCAACCAGTGAGGATTTGCGCGACCGACTGGTTCACCATGAACGCATGCCAGTCCGTTGATTTTTCCCAAAAACGAAAGCGACGAGCTCGCTTCCTCGGAGATGAAATTATCGATCTTCCGGCTGGGAGTTACATGATGACAAGACAGATATGAAGATACTTCATCAAAGCACATTCACGAGCCTTCAAGTACCAAGAGACGACAATCACGTTTCATGGCAGTTCAGGTTCTGAAGCAATCTAACGATTTTTGCGACCTAGCCCTAGTAAGGTCCCATGACAGGCTATCTCTGCAACATAGATCAAAACAACTCGTATCGTATATTCTCAAAAACGT